TGATGTGTTCAATATTTGTAGAGGGAATACTTTAAAGGTGATTATATTTATTAAATTGAGGTAATAAAGGGACCTAAATGAAAGTGAGATTTCTATACTTCTCTTGAAATGGTAAAGAATCAACATCAATAGGCAGTGATAAATTATATGCATGTATAATAATACCCAGAGCAACCACTAAGGAATCTATATAAAGAAATACTCTCAAAAACGTTATAATTTAATAAAAATGAAGCATCAAAAATGTTCAAGTAATGCAGAAGAAGCCAAGAAAAAACAAACAGGGGGCTTCCCTGGTGGCGCAGTGGTTGAGAGTCCGCCTGCAGATTCAGGGGACGCGGGTTCGTGCCCCGGTCCGGGAAGATCTCACATGCTGCGGAGTGGCTGGGCCCGTGAGCCATGGCCGCTGAGCCTGCGCGTCCGGAGCCTGTGCTCCGCAACGGGAGAGGCCACAACAGTGAGAGGCCCGCGTACCGCAAAAAAAAAAAGAAAGAAAGAAAGAAAAAACAAACAGGAACAAGAAATAGAGGGAACAAAACAGAAAACAAATAACAGATTTCTTGGATTTTCTACATAGACTATCATGTCATCTCAAATAGGGACAGTTTTATTTCTTACTTTCTGATCTGTATGACTTTTACTTCCTTTTCTTGCATTATTGCACTGGCTGAAACTTCAGTACCATGTTGAGTAAGAGTGATGAGAGCAGATATCCTTGTCTTGTTCCTGGTCTTAACATCTGAAAGCAGTCTTTCATCTTTAAGTATAGTGTTAAATGTAACTTGTTTTGTTGTTGCTGTTAAACATTAGCTGTAAGTTTTTTGTAGATGCTTTTTATTAAATTGAGGAAGTACTTCTCTATTTCTAGTTTTCTCAGTTTTCATCACGAATGGTGCTCAATTTTGTCAAATGTTTTTTATTCATGTATTGATATAATCATATGATTTTTCACTTGATATGTTGACATGATGGATTACACTGATTAATCTTCAAATATTAAAAAGCCTCAAATTCCTGGAATAACCCCACTTGGTTATGGTGTATAACTCTTTTTACATATTCTGCATTATGATTGCAAATATTTATTTTATATTTTTTTGAAATCTTTATTGGAGTATAATTGCTTTACAATGGTATGTTAGTTTCTGCTTTATAACAAAGTGAATCAGCTATACATATACATAAATCCCCATATCTCCTCCCTCTTGTGTCTCCCTCCCACCCTCCCTATCCCACCCCTCTAGGTGGTCACAAAGCACCGAGCTGATCTCCCTGTGCTATGAGGCTGCTTCCCACTAGCTATCTATTTTACGTTTGGTAGTGTATATATGTCCATGCCACTCTCTCACTTCGTCCCAGCTAAGCCTTCCCCCTCCCCGTGTCCTCAAGTCCATTCTCTATGTCTGCATCTTTATTCCTGTCCTGCCCCTAGGTTCTTCAGAACCATTTTTTTTCTTTTTTTTTTTTTTAGACTCCATATATGTGTGTTAGCATATGGTTTGTTTTTCTCTTTCTGACTTACTTCACTCTGTATGACAGACTCTAGGTCCATCCACCTCACTACAAATAGCTCAATTTCGTTTCTTTTTATGGCTGAGTAATATTCCATTGTATATATGTGCCACATCTTCTTTATCCATTCATCTGTTGATGGACACTTAGGTTGCTTCCATGTCCTGGCTATTGTAAATAGAGCTGCAGTGAACATTGTGGTACAGGACTCTTTTTGAATTATGGTTTTCTCAGGGTATATGCCCAGTAGTGGGATTGCTGGGTCGTATGGTAGTTCTATTTTTAGTTTTTTCAGGAATGTCCATACTGTTCTACATAGTGGCTGTATCAATTTACATTCCCACCAACAGTGCAAGGGGGTTCCCTTTTCTCCATACCCTCTTCAGCATTTATTGTTTGTAGATTTTTTGATGATGCCCATTCTGACTGGTGTGAGGTGATACCTCATTGTACTTTTGATTTGCATTTATCTAGTGATTAGTGATGTTGAGCATCCTTTCACCTGTTTGTTGGCAATCTATATATCTTCTTTGGAGAAATGTCTATTTAGGTCTTCTGCCCATTTTTGGATTGGGTTGTTTGTTTTTTTGATATTGAGCTGCATGAGCTACTTATAAATTTTGGAGAGTAATCCTTTGTCAGTTGCTTCATTTGCAAATATTTTCTTCCATTCTGAGGGCTGTCTTTTCGTCTTGTTTATGTTTCCCTTTGCTGGGCAAAAGCTTTTAAGTTTCATTAGATCCCATTTTTTAATTTTTTTTTTTATTTCCATTTTTCTAGGATGTGGGTCAAAAAGGATCTCGCTGTGATTTATGTCATAGAGTGTTCTGCCTATGTTTTCTTCTAAGAGTTTGATAGTGTCTGGCCTTACATTTAGGTCTTTAATCCATTTTGAGTTTATTTTTGTGTATGGTGTTAGGGAGTGTTCTAATTTCATTCTTTTCCATGTAGCTGTCCAGTTTTCCCAGCACCACTTATTGAAGAGGCTGTCTTTTCTCCACTGTATATTCTGATTGCAAATATTTATAAAGGATTTTTACATCTATTTTCATGAGTGATGTGAGCTTGTACTTTTCTTTTTTAAAAATACTCTCCTTGTTTTGGTATCAGGGCAATACTTGCTTTATAAAATAAATTGAGAAATGTTCTCTCTTATGTTCTGGAAGAGAATATATGAAATTGCTATTAAAACTTCTTTAAAGAAGCTTTTCTCCATTTATATAAAACCATGTAGGCTTGGAAATATCTTTTGGGGGAGCTCCTAAATTTGACTTCAATCTTCTTAATAGTTGTAGGACTATTCAAATTGTCTGTTTCATTTAGGGTAGATTGTGGTGGTTTGTGCTTTTCAATGAATTGGTCCATTTTGTTGCCAAATTTATGCATGCAGAGTTGTTTGTAGTTTTAACTTTATAGACTTTTGAAGTTAGCATATCTAGTGATGACTCTTCTTTCATTTGTAAAATTGGTAATTTGTATTTATTCTCTTTTTTCTTTGCTAGAATTGCTAAAGGTTGCCAATTTTATTGATCTTTTAAACAATCAGCTCAGTTTCACTGATTTTCTCAGTTGTTTTTCTCTTTTAATTTCATTGATTTCTGCTCTTATATTTACTATTTCTTTCTGCTTGCTTTGAATGTATTTTGCTCTTTTATTTCTTAGGTTCTTGAGGTGAAAGCTTGGATTGATTTGAGACATTTTTCTTCCTAATATATGTATTTAGTATTATAAATTTCCCTCTTTGCACTGCTTTACCTGTGGCTCACAAATTTTCATACGTTGTATTTTCATTTTCATTCAGTTGAATGAGTTTTTAAAAGTCCTTTGGGACTTCCTCTTTGATCTGTAGATTATTTAGAAGTGTGTTGTTTAATTTCCAAGTGTTTTGAGATTTTCTTTATTGATTTATAGTTTCATCCCATTGTGGCTGGAGAACACATTGTATGATTACCATTCTTTCAAATTTGTTGAAGTGGCTCATTTATTGAAGTGAATTTGTTTTATGGCTCAGAATATGGTTTGTCTTGGCATATGTGGGCAATGGTAAAGAATGCGTATTCTGTTTTTGTTGGGTGGAGTGTTCTATAAATGTCAATTATATCTTATTTGTTGATAGCGTTTTCCTGTTATCTTTGCTGATTTTCTGAAGAGTTGTTCTATCAACTGTTAAGAGGAGGATGTGGAAGTCTCCAAAAATAATTGTAGATTGGTCTATTTCTCCTTTCATTTCTATCAATTTTTGTTTCACATATTTTATAGCTCTGTTGTTGTATACACATTTATGATTGCTAAATCTTCTTGGTAGATTGATCCTTTTGTTATTATACAATGTATCTCTCTGCTTCTGGTAATTTTCTTTGCTTTGAATTCTATATTCTGATATTAATATAGCTATTCCTTCTCTCTTTCAATTGAAGTTTGAATAGGTACATATATACAAACTTCAATTGAAGTTTGTAATATATACATATATCTCCACTGCTTTTTTTTCAACCCTGCCTATATCATTATATTTTAAATGAGTTTCTTATGGACATCATATAATTAGGTCATGTTTTCTGATCCACTCTGTCAGTCTTTGCATTTTAATTGGTATAACCATTTACAGTTGATCCTTGAACAAATTGGGTTTGAACTGTGTGGGTCCACTTATATATGGATTTTTTTCCCCAATAAATAAATACTATAATGCTAAATGATCCAAGGTTGGTTGAATCCACAGATGTGGAACGATAGATATGGAGGACTGACTGTAGAGTTATACACTGATTTTTGACTGCACAAGGGTCAGTTGCCCTAGCTCCTGCATTGTTCAAGGGTCAACTGTATATTTAATGTAATTATTGATTTGTTATGGCTTAAATCTGGCTTTCTTTTTTGGTTTTCTGTTTGTTCTTTCTGCATTTCTCTCTTTTCCCCTGCTTTTCTGTGGGAACAGTTTTTAGAATTTTATAACTATAGAGTTTTAACTTTAGAGTTTTTGAGTGTATCTGTGTGACATTTTAATGATTGCTCTAATAATACATTATATGTACATAACTTATTACAGTCATCATTTTACCAGTTCAAGTGAAGTGTAGAAATCTTATCTGCCTTTATGTCTATTCACTCTCCCCACTTGTATTAAATATTTGTCTTAATATTTCTGCTAAATATTTAGAACCACATTAAACAGTGCCATATTTTTTGCTTCATATGTCAAACATAATTTAGAAAACTCATGAAGAGAAGGAAAAGCTATTATATTTACCCATATTTTTGTTTGCAAACTTTCTTCCTGATTTTCTAAGATTCCTTTTATCATTTCTTTTTTTATTTATAGAACTTCCTTTAGCCTTTCTTTTGTGGTAGGTCTTCTGGCTACAAATTCGTAGTTTTCTTTCATTTGAGAATGTCTTGATTTCCCCTTCATTTCTGATATTTTTGCTACATACAGGATTTTTCTGATATTTTTTCTGGATTCTAAGTTGACAGTTCTTTTCTTTCAGCACTTGAAGAATATTCCTCTTCCTCCTGGCCTCCATGGATTCTGATGAGAAATCTGCTGTCATCTGAATTGATTTTCATCTATAGGTAAGGTGTCACTTTTCCCTTACTGCATCAAGGTTTTTAAAATTTTGTTTTAATTTTCAGAAGTTTGAATATATTCAGAAGTTTGATAACTATTTGCATGGTTTCTTTGGTTTTATTCTGTTTTGGGTTTGCTCAGTTTCCTGAATCTGTAGTTTATGAGTTTTGCCAAACTTAGGAAGTTTTCAGTTATTATTTCTTTGAACAGCTTGTGATCCCTGTCCCTTTTCTTCTCTCTTTCCAGAACTCTGATGACACGAAAGACATACCTTTTGTTACAGTCCCACAGATCCCCATGGCTCTGCTTATCTTTTTATTTTTATTCTAACTTTTCTCCATTAGTCAGACTGAGTAATTTCTATTTTTCTACTTTACAGCTCATTGATTGTTTTCTTCTGTCTCCTTCATTCTGCTGTTGAGCTCATCCACTGAGCTTTTAATTTCAGTTACTGTATTTTTCAGTTCTAAAATTTCTATTTGATTTTTTTTATATCTTCTCTTTCTTTGCTGACACTTTCAACTTATTTGCTGAGTGTTTTTATTTTTTCACTAGTTTAAAGTGTGTTTATAATGGTTTGCTGAAGCATTTTTTAATGATGGCTACTGTAAAATCTTTGTCTGATAATTCTAACATCTCTGTTACTTCGATGTTGGTATCTACAGATACCTCCCTGGCAGAGAGGGGTAGGAGTGGCTCATTACTACTCGTCATGTGGCCTCAAAGGACATCATCAGTGGGGGAGGGGAGGCATTGGCTTCGTTACTGCTGGGCTCTGGTGAAAATCGTGACCTTCCACTCTCCATTGAGACTACTCCAGCAGGGAAGAAATAGAAACTTCCCAGGTGGTTTCCATCAACACCATGTGGTGGTGGAGGGTGCTCCTTATTTCTTGGTGTGGGTGAATGCCTCAGCTCTATACTCAACCTTATCTGACACCACACTGACAGGGAGTTGGGGCACCTTAAACTTGCTGAAGATGAAAGTCTAGGCTCTCCATTTGGCTTCTGCTTGGTAGGAGTGCAGCCGTAGTTTTTTCTATGGTGTTTGATTGGAGTAGGATATTTACCATCTAAACGTTTTCTGTCTTGCTAGAATGTCCCTTCCTTCCCCTGTCCTTTGGTTAGAGAGAGCAGGCTTTTGCTGGGGCTATTTTTGTCTGTAGTCGTTGGTGTTTTCAGTTTGCTTGGCTGCTTCAGCTCCAAGTCTGGGATATATGAGGCAAAAAGTTGATTCAGAGAATGCATTACTGTTTTGTTACTTGGGTTCTGAGTTCCCTAGTTTGTTTGCCTTCCCCCCACCTTTCAGAGTCTTTCTTTCTCTCTATATATATTATACTAAATGTCCAGGGTTTTTAGTTGGACTTAGCAGAAGGAACAGGAAGAAGTACATGGACTTCACCTTCCTGTAAGCTGAAATTCTGGCATTACATTTTTAACTATAAGAAATGTTCTCATTTTAACTAACTTGTGATCGGTGTCAGCCTGGTAGATTATTAATTTTTAAATGTGATCAAAATCCAAATAAAATAAAAGCATCACTAAAGGGGCTGTATTGAATATACCACCTATTAATTATACTGATTTTTTGAACAGTGACTAGCTTCTGTGAGCAAATCTTGTAATTGGAACCCTCACTGTAGCTTTCTTCTCAGAAATCTGTGTTGAGAAATGCTCTACTCCACTGGGCTTAAGTAGGATTAGCATCTAAACATGTTGCTTAACAAAGCTATCCTTTCTATGCAAACTGATTTATAACGGGGAAATCTACTTTTGACATCTCTTTTTAAACATTTTTAATTAATTAATTTTGGGCTGTGTTGGGTTTTTATTGCTGCGCGTGGGCTTTCCCTAGTTGCCGCGAGTGGGGGCTACTCTTCGTTGCAGTGCGTGGGCTTCTCATCGCAGCGACTTCTCTTGTTGCGGAGCACAGGCTCTAGGCACGTGGGCTTCAGTAGTTGTGACGTGTGAGCTCAGCAGTTGTGGCTCATGGGCTTTACAGTGCAGGCTCAGAAGTTGTGGTGCACGGGCTTAGTTGCTCCGCAGCATGCAGAATCTTCCTGGACCAGGGATTGAACCCATGTCCCCTGCATTGGCAGGCGGATTCTTAACCACTGCACCACCAGGGAAGTCCTTGACATCTCTTAAAGGAACACATCCAAGTAATTCATAACAAGCACATACTTAGCAGAGCTGGATTAGCAGGGGGAAAAGAAGTCATTCAGTAAAAACAGTAGATCTGCCATCCGTGAGAAGGATGGTAGGTCCTGGAAGATGGAAAAGGAGAAGTGGTCCCTGATCCAGCAGTTCACTGTCTAGTGGGAGAGAGATAGTGCAAAGAGATGATTTCAGTGCAGTGGGATAGGTGTTAAAATAGAGGGAAGAAAAGTCCTAGAGGTACCATGACGGAGAAGCTAACTGTCAGGGAGGATGATTGGTACAGATGCTGGAAGGTATAACGGAGAGGCAAGAAGCAACATGTGGGCTGAGATTCTGGGGACAATGATGGTGTGGAGGGAACAGTTGTGGGGGAGAACCCATTACTGCTGAAGGACAAAGTGGATGTGGGGCCATGTCGGAAGACATGACTGGAAATACAGACAGGGACAGATTACAAACAGTCTGGACGCCCTGGATTAGTGAAAATTCTTTTTAAGTAGTTTCTTTAAAGAACAAATGGTTTTGAGGAGCTAATGCTCTTTAAGTTTTGATTTGTAGATTTGTAATAGTTAAGAATATGGAAGCAAGACTAGGAAGATGCAGAAAATGGGAAACCCTGTTAGATGTGGAAGAAATGGAGGTGAGACCCTCCAAAGGCATTGTTGAGTCAAGAGAATAGAAGAGTAGGGCAGGGTGGAACGCGTCTGCACACATGACGGGAAACGTTCAGTGGAAGAGGCATCTTTCTAATGGTGGGTGGCCCTAAGGCATAGAGCCGGGCTCAGTGGGGAGCCACAGTCAGGCTGCTTTCTCTTTGGTGCAGTAATGTTTTCACAGGGTGATGCACAGATGCCACGGGCTGCCTCATCATGGGGTGGGTTCCCTGTGACTGGAAGCATGCAAATGTTGGAAAGGTTGACCAGCCACCCATTGGGTTAGTTATTTGAAAATATCAGTATCCAGTGGGGTAATTGGATGAGATGAGCTCCTGGGCCCTTTTTTAAAAAAATTTTTATTGGAGTATAGTTGATTTACAATGTTGTCTTAGTTTCTGCCGTACAGCAAGGTGAATCAGTTATACGTATACATATATCCACTCTTTTTTAGATTCTTTTCCTACATAGGTCATTATAGAGTATTGAGTAGAGTTCTTTGTGCTATACAGTAGTTCCTTATTAGTTATCTATTTTATATATAGTAGTGTGTATATGTTAATCCCAACCTCCCAATTTATCCCCTCCCCTTCCCCCCCGGTAACCATAAGTTTATTTTATACATCTGTGACTCTATTTCTGTTTTGTAAATAAGTTCATTTGTACCTTTTTTTTTGAGGATCTATGATTCTCTCCGAACTCCAAGTAGAGTTTCATGTAGAACAAAGTGGATTATGGGTAAATGTTTACTGATAGGCCAGGTAAAGATCACGTTGGGATCAAAGCATGAAACACTCTATCACTGTCCATTCGGAGGGAAATGGACACTTCATAGTTTTCAGTATTTATGTTTCCTCCACATCTCTTCCTTTTTAAAACCTTCACTGGAATTTTCCGCCCTTGCACGATTGGTCTGACTCCTTTAGCTATACGTTGGGAACTTACTATGTGTTTAGCTAGGTGAACTCCTCCACGTGAATCTAGGTTAGACCATGTCCCCAGGCATGCCAGCCCCAGAATCAAACTTGTTCCAAGTTGGGTTTATTTTGACCCAGGGCCCTTCTAACCCATTTCAGATTCAGTATTTTCAGGGTTAGGAGGGAGCTTAGCCAGCCATGGGGAGAAGACAGAGGCAAAACACACCCTTTGCGGGGAGTGACGGGCTTTCCTCCACTGACTGTTTTCTCAAATATTAATTCTCCCTCTTCTTTTTCCCTTATCTCCTATCCATCCCTGGGACTGATTAATAATAAAAACGAAAATAAACAATAACCAGTGTATTGGATATTTACAGTGTTTGAAGCAATGTAATGCATATTTAATATTCTCAACAACTCTAGAAGTAGGTTTTAGTATTTTCATTTAACAGATGGGGAAACTGAGGCCCAAAGTGCCTAGGGAACTTGCCCAAGCTTGGAGCGCGGGAGCCTCTGACTCCTGAGCCTGAATTATGGAGCGTCTCTCTTGTGAAGCCTTAAAGGTTCAAAGATCATTTGCTTCTGCAAAATGGAGTGGAGGGTCTCCCTCTTCTTCCTCCCCACCCAGATATATGGGACTGTTATGGGACCACGTCTGTGAAAAATGCTCCATCCTAAGTGTTAAAGTCGATGTATTTTCACACACTGAATACGCCCATGTGACCACCACCAAGATCAAGACACGGAACGTGACCAGCTCTCCCGATGCAGGGTGACCACTGCTCTGACTGCCATCAACATAGATTAGCTTTGCCTGTTGTAGAACTCCTTATAAATGGAATCAGTGTGCCCTCTTTTTGTCTGGTTACTTCTGCTCAGAGTCTGTAAAACCCAGTGGTGTGCTGGTAAATTGGCTTTCAAAAACTAATTTATTTATTATTATAAATAAAGAAAAGAAAAAGAAGGAAAGGAATAAAAGAAAAAAGAATAAAAAATTTTTTAAAAAAGCAATACCATAAAAAGAAAGAAAGAAAGAAAAAGTTCCTGTTTGTAGTGTTTGCCTATTTCAGTGCTGTGAATGCTCCCACCTTGGTGGATTTCAAGCCACCAATGATTTAACAATCAGTTTGCAAGATTCCAGAATATTCCACAGTCAGCTCTTACGAGCTGGTGCAAGTCAAACCCACCATGTTATAGGAGTCATTCACATGGTGGTATACAGTTTATCATTCTTTCTCTTTGCTGTTTAGTATTACTGTGTGAACACACGTGGGGCCTTTTCATTATGGCTTTTTGGCAAAAGTCACTGGTTTTCAGAAAGAGCCTCTTTGGTGGATTCATTGCTGCCGGATGAATCCGGTCCTGTCTCCACCGTGCCGGCACCTTTCCTGGCCACCGGCTTCGGCTTCAGCTCTCCAGACGGGAAGCACCGTACCTGCCCCACAGGCTTGTCAGCACTCTTGGCACTCGGTAGGCGCTCAATAAATCTTCCCTCCATCCCTTTCTATCTATTTTTCATCCCAGGGAGGGTGACTGCACCTCAGATGAAGCCATGTGGAGATGTAGGGCTCGACACCCCTGCATGGATCTCTGAGGTGTTTTGCTCTGCCACCCAGAGCACCTGCAGAATTTCTCAGCTTTATTTCCATGTGGTATCTTTTTTTTTTAATTAAAAAAAATCTATATTATAGTTGATTTACGTTGTGTTAGCTTCAGGTGTACAGCAAAGTGAATGTATACATATACATATAGCTAATCTTTTTCAAGTTCTTTTCTCATTTAGGTTATTACAGAATATTGAGTAGAGTTCCCTGTGCTATATAGTGGGTCCTTGTTGGTTATCTATTTTATATATAGTAGTGTGCACACGTTAATGCCAAACTCCCAATTTCTCTCTCCCCCTCACCTTTCCCCTTTGGTAGCCATAAATCTGTTCTCTTAATCTGTGAGTCTGTTTGTGTTTTGTAGGTAAGTTCATCTGTATCATTTTTTTAGATTTCCATGTGGTCTCTTTGAAGAGAAGGAAAAGAAGGAAGAAGGGAGGGGAGGAAAGAAAAGGAGGGAGGAGGGAAAGTAGGAAGGAAGAAAGGGAAAGAAAGAGGGAAGGAGAGAAAGCAGCTGTCAGACTTGTCTGCGGGCCTGGCCTGAAAGAAGACTTTTCTGTTACCAATAGATCACTTGCTCCAGCTGCTGTGACGGGCCCAGGAAACGTGTTCACACATGAAAGTGCTGTTTGCTTTGTTCAGTGCTGCCTTCTTGCCTCTAAATAGATCATCACAACCCAGGCATCCTCCGGAGAGATACCATCTTCAGGGGAACATGAAAAGGAAACCCTGGGAAAGGCAGTCAAAAGAGTGACACAAATGTGACAAATGAAGGTCACAGAGTGACAATCTGTGAATAGGCACATTTTTCTGGGTTAAGGGGAAGGGAAGACTTGACTGTGGAGGGGAAGCTGGGCCTTTTCCAAGGCCAAGTGCCTGGGGGGTCTCTGCAGCGCCAGGAGAGCTGCTGACTCTGAGCTCGCTGCTCACCAGGGCCAGGTCCACTGCCCTGAGGTCCTGGGGAAGGGACCTCTTCCAGGCAGTTGGCACCAGCGTCCTTTCTGTCTGAAGCAGGCAGGAAAGTCATCTCCCGGCTCCCTCATCAACTGGAAAAACACACCGGTTGCGGCCAAGTGAAACAAAATGCCCCTTCCTGCCTGGGAGTTCAACCCGCATCCCTCTGACAGCTGGCCGTGACGGAGGACCGCATCTCCTTCCAAACCCAGAACTGTTGTCTTTGGATCTCCCTCCAGCACCCCAATTCCAGGACTTGGGGCCTCCCAATGAAAGCGGCTGGTTACCGTGACCTCTTGAATCAATTCCTTGTGTCTCAAGAGCAAAGACCATGTTCAGGTCCCCAGCTGGAGCCCCGCTTCTTGGCCGTCTGTTTGTCGTTCATGCCACTGCTGCTTCCCTGGGGATTTGGAGAGGGTAATCTAGAAGAGGCAGCAGGGTATAAGGAACAGAAACAGTAATAATCCTGGAACGAGCTGGATCTAATTTTAAATCTGGGCTCTGCAATGTGCTGGTTGGGTGACCTGGGCAAATGCTAGCTCCCCTGGGTCAGGCCCGGTATAATTT